CACATGGAGGCAGGGCTTAAAAGCCTGAATTTTGCCTGAAACTCTCAGACTGAAGAAGTCTCTTTGAGGAGAGACGAAACGTTTCATTAGAGAACCCATCTAGAAGACCTATACAGTTTTTTTCTTTTTAAATGTAAACAATGCGAAAAGCTAAAAGTAGCAAAATCATTGCTAAAAGCTAAATGTTGCAAAACTGTAGTTAACACCTAAAATTAGTAAAACGTCAGCTAAATGTACAAAAAAACTGTACGTGAAAGCTTAATGTATCTAAACCATAGCAAGATAGCAAAACAAAGTTAATGCTAAATAATACAAAAAGCTACAATTAGCAAAACCATATAAAAGCTAACTATAGCAAAATAATAGTGATAAGCTGAATGCCAGGAACCAATGCAAACAGCTAAAATGAGCGAAACCATACCTAGAAATAGCAAAATATCAAGAGCTAATTGTAGTAAAACTGCAGCTAATACCTAAAATAGATTTTAGCCACATCAGAGGGTGACACGAACCATAGCTAAAGATAGCAAAACATTGCTAAATGCTAAATGTAAACAATGCAAAAATCAAAAGTAGCAAAATCATTGCTAAAACTACGATACGTCACCATCCAAAAAGCTTAAATGAGTAAGACTGTAAAAATTAGTAAAAAAAAATCAGCTAAAAATAAGAAAAGCTGTACATGAAGATCTAAATGTAGTTAAACATACCTAAAGATGGAAAAAACCACATCTAAAACTAAGAGGAGTAAAATAAAGCAAAGAAAAAAAAACAATGTTCAGACATTAAAACTGAAGCTGAAAGTAAAAATTAGAAAAAAAATTCAGAAAGACATTAGCTAAATGCTAAAAGGTGCATAAGATAAACAGCTGAAGTAGATTTTAGAAAATACTTTTGAAAATAAAAGTAAAGATGTATTTCTTGGGGAAATAAATTGAGTTAAAACAAAGGTTGTAGAACACTAAAGTATTTAACAAGAAATACATCATGTTTACTTTTAAACAAATTATTGTAATAAATGAATAATTTTAACTTTTATTTTTCTAATTAGAATTAAACTAAGCCTGTTTGTAATTGGTGCAAAATTTAATCTATTTTAATTTGTTTAAACATTAGTTGATAAAGCCGTAAAATACAAAATACATATTGTATTTTAATAATGTTGTGAGCAGAAACAGCTACAGAAAATATTCAAGTTTATTTTATTGTAAACGTTGACAAATCAAGTCAAAAACTTTGTAGTTCAAAAGGTTTTTTTAATGTAGAAACTTGACATTTTTATGTTTTTAGACAATAATTCAAATGAAAAACAAAGTAAATGTTTCAAACAAACAAAATGCAGTCGTATCAAAGGTTTTATGAAGAAAAGCTTCTTCAACAGAAAACACTTTGGTTCAGAAGCTGAAGTGGTTTTTGATGTCTTTGATTTGCTTCATCATGTCCCCAATCTGCTGTCCCTGCTCTCTGAGGACGTCCTGGACCACCTTCTTCTGGTGGGCGTCCAGTGAGACGGTGGTCCTGGCCGCAGACATGTCCTTGTCCACCTGCTTCTTCTGGTACTCCATCTTCATGCTGACCTGCCTGATGCAGTTGTCCAGGTGTTTCAGCCGCTCGCTCACACTCTGCAGCTCCTTCTTCATGTCCTTCTCGCTGTTGGACAGGACGGGCAGCTGGCTCTGCAGGCTGCACAGGACCCTCCTCACTCTGCTCACGGTGGCTTCCTGGCGGTACTTGGCGTCCTCGTACTTGTCGGCCAGCCTCTCGGCCGCCTCTCTCAGGCTCTTCTTCTCCTCGCGGCACAGGGCCAGCTCCTCCAGCTGCTTGTTCTTCTGCTCCCGCAGCAGCTTCACCCTCCGCTGCGTCTCCTCGCGGGCCATGTCCTGCTTCAGGATGTACTCCTCGCGGAAGACCTGCGTGGCCCTGCTGAGGAGCTGCAGGCACTCGGGCGGCGGAGGCGGCGCTGCCTCCCTGTCGCCGGCCTTCAGCACCAGCGGGTTGGCGGCGCCGCGGGCCAGGATGTTGCGGACGTGCTGCTCGAAGGAGTCGCTGGCGAGCCCGCGCAGGGGCGAGCTCCCGGACCCGGGACCTGGCTGGGAGCAGAGCAGGGGAGGGGACGGGGGGCGGATGGAGCTCAGCAGGGGCAACATGACGCACTCGTAGGAGGAGGTGATGCAGATCATGGTGGCGCCCAAAGAGAGGTCGGAGACGATTAAGAAGCCCCAAACAGGAGCTGACTGGTTGGTGAGGAGGGGGCGGGTGCAGAGGACGTGCTCCACGATGCAGCGCTTCTCCGCAGCCAGCTCCTGGAGGCTGTCCTTGTCCTCCTCGCCCGACTGAAGGAACCTCTGCAGCTTGTGGACCCAGATCAGCCCCACGCTGTGCACGCCCGCCTCGTGGGTGCAGTGGTACCGCTGCGGGCACAGCGGGTCTCGGCGCAGCCTGATGGGACAGGTGAAGTCGAGCTCCTGGGGCTCCTCGTCGTCCGCCGCCACCTTGAGCGTGAGCTCCAGCTCCACGCACTCGAACACGTAGAGCGCCGGGACGGCCCCCCCGGCGATCTGGATCCACTTCTCCACTGCCCCGGCGTCCTCCTCCTCCTCCGATTCCAGGACCACGCAGTGGTACAGCGTCCCGGTCTGGGTGGCGATCACCAGGATGCTGGGGACGCACGGCAGGCACAGGATGGAGCAGGCGTCGTAGCCGTAGTTGTCCTCGGCTGCGGGGTACATGGGCAGGGGTCCGGCTGGGTTACTGACGCTCAGCCCGTTGGTCTGACCCGTGTAGCTCACGTAGGTTTCCCCGTTTTCATACAGGATGTAGAGAGGATAGACCGGCTGCTCCTTGAAGTACTGAGCTGCCAGCTGCCGAGGAGGACAGGAAACTGGTCCAAAGTCAAAAGCCACGGCTATTTCTCCCAGAGACGCAGCATAGGACCGGACCGGAGGCCGGACGCTGCTTTCATCCTCACCCTGGGACACCGGCAGGACCTTGGCCGGGGTCTGGGACGACTTCAGGCCGTAGAACCGAATGGTGTTGTCGGATGTGAGCAGAACCAGATAGGGGTCGTCGGTCTCGCTCGGGTACCAGGCCGCCTGCCGCAGACTCACGGACGGGGAACTGGTGAAGAAGCGCTCCGCCACCGGGATGGTTTTGCAGTTGATCCGGTCCCGGCCCCCTTCGAACTCGGACCGCTTGCCCCACCGCTGCGGGAGCTCCAGGACCGACACGCCGCGGAGCCCGACCAGCGCGACGTGTCCCTGCGCGGGGCTCACAAACACCTGGCACACGTCGAAGAGAGGCGGGTTGATGCACAGCAGCGTCTGGAACTTCCCGCCGCCTCGGCTCTCCTCGGAATTCAGCTGCCGCAGGTTGGTGGTGTAAAACACGCGCTCCGTGTCGTCCCACACGAAAAAGTCCCCGCCCAAACAAAACGTCAGGTTTTTAACTACTCCTCTTTCATTTGACTTTGATTCAAACTCCAACTTTTCCCGTAATTTTTCGAAAATGGCATGATTCGGTAACTCAGTCAGCCACTTTTCCGCTCCGAACGCCGCCATCTTGAACAACTGTTTCACTCTCGTCGGTCTCGCGAGAACGATAACGCGTTTCGCGACAGCCGTAAAACGTTGGCCGGTGTCGTACATTTTGCAGAATCATGGCGTTGAAAGAGGCTGCGGGTCAGTACGAGACCCTCAAAGCTGAGTGGAATAAAAACAAACCGAACCTGGACAAATGCGGAGAACTTCTGAGCAAGCTCAAGGTGGGCCACCCGCTTCTTTAATTATTGTTTTTATTGTACCAGCTTCCTCAGGATCCTCTAAAACAGTAGAGCTAATAGCAGCTAAACATGCTAACAGCTTAGCTAGGCTAACGTGTTTAATTATCGTAAACTTTGCCAAAATACTTAATATAATAACACCAAGTTGTGTGATAGGTTTAATATGTCAATTGTGTTGTATTGTTTGAATTACCACACCTCTTAAAATATATTTTTATGTGTTTAAACAGCATATTTCTTTTGGTTGCTAACGTTAGCAATAGTGAAATATAAACATTTGAACAGAAAACTAACACAAACATAATTTTCCACACAAAACTCACAAGTATTTAACAATAAACGTTGACTTTAAGACCGATCTCAGTCTTTTTTTATTTAAAAATGTTTAGAAAATTGTTATAATGTAGAAACCTAATGAATGGAAGCTATTAGAGGTACTGTGAATATTATTCAAATTACATGACAATATTTAACTAATAATTGGATATATTTTAGATTGATTTTTTTCCTAATCAAGTGGTTTTCATTTTATTTTACTTCTAATGCTACAGTAAAATTTGTATTGTAGATATTTAACACCAATTAAAGGAAACATTTCTTTGTTACAACTCAATCAGTTGACAGTTTTAGTTGGATCATTCTGTATTTTCTTTATATATGTTTTTAAAAATTATTAGGAAAACCATATATTTGTTACTATGCTACCATTTTATTGAAACTGTAAATTTGTTTTCCCAGGTTTCATTACTGGAGCTGAATTTCCTACCTACCAGTGGATCAGGAATGACCAAACAGCAGCTCATTTTAGCTCGTGAGTAAAACCTCAGATCAGGTTTCATCAGTCGTGTGTTGCAGGATGAATCTTGAATAATAAAAAGATTAAAGCCTAACGGGAAACTGGTGTTCGTTTCAGGTGACGTCCTTGAGATCGGAGCTCTTTGGAGCATCCAAAAGAAAGACATCCCATCTTTTGAAAGATACATGGCCCAGCTAAAATGTTACTACTTTGATTACAAGTAATGCCTGTTTGTATTTTCTTTTTAATTTTAAATCTTCATTTTAATATTTGCTGGCTTGCTTTAACGTTGTTCTTTATCCCCTCTCATTTGTCCACCAGAGACGAACTGCCTGAAGCTGCCTACATGCACCAGTTGCTCGGACTGAACCTGCTCTTCCTGCTCTCACAGAACCGAGTGTCTGAGTTTCACACAGAACTGGAAAGGCTGAGCGCACGAGACATTCAGACTAACGTGTACATCAAACATCCCGTTTCCTTAGAACAGGTGCGCTCATCTTTCCTGCCGGACTGGACACAGATTTAGAAATGTGTGATTCTGATTAATAATTCATAATCCTCTTGCTTTGTTTTATTTAAACTTTGACACAATGTTCCCTAAATAGTTTTGAGTCGTCTGCATGAGGCGGTGATTGTTGTAGCAAACATTTTAAATATTTTACAAAAACTGTTTTCATCCCTGGAACTTTTAACACTTTTCAGAGACGTCAGGTGTAGTGTCGGTCATTTCTTCAGGAACATTTTGTAGAGATTATCAGGACAGTTAAACTAAAATTAATTTATCAAGTAGACAACATAGATTTTTATTCACAAAGGTTTTAATTTAACAAATATATTTATTTATTGAGTATTTTTTATTGTTATGAGGTGAAAGATTGTTTTTGTCTCTCAAATGAGCAGCTGGTCATTTCAAGTTAATTTTAAAGATAAATATATGAATATAAATC